GATGGTAAAAAACCAACCATTTGTGCATTCACCCCAAAAGAAATTAACTCATAAAATGGTACTTGTAAAACATTTTCTTAATGTGCAGATGCAGATAAAGATGAATTTACATGTAAAAGTAATCCATCTTGTTATTGGAATATAAATAAATGTGTTGATTAAACTTGTGAAACCTTTTCATCTGGCTTAAATTGTAACCCTATACCAAGTTTCGATGGTACTAAATATACAATATGCTTATTCGAAAATGGAAAGTGTTAAACTAATGATCCTAAGACTATATCAGAATCTAAAGCTTGCTTTATTAAATCAGCATACACACACACTTGGAATTCCATGACAAATCAATGTGAAGCATGCTTTCATTCAACAACTCCTTAAAATCCAGGTTCAACTAACATAGATGTTATATTATCTGTATTTGTAACGGCAATCTTGATTGTTTGAATATTTTTTTAGTTTTAGATCTATTTTATAATTTACATTTAATTAAATACATAATACGTAATAAATTAGTACTTTTAAATATATATATATATAATTCAAATATTTAAATATGTTCTAATCCAAAATTAAAGTAGAAATCTCAAACTTGTAATGCAATAAGCATTTTGGTAATCCATATTTACAAATAAAGATTGATAAGGGATGTAATGGAATAGAAAGATTAATGTGTAGTGAATGTATAGCAGATTAGAGAGGAGTTTATAATGTAATGTCTATTGTAGAAGCAAGTGAGAGAATATAAAATTTGAAGAGCTAATAATAATAACAGATAGTAGATTTTATCAAATCATAAAAACAAATGCTAGAAAAATTAAGAGAGAAAACTAATAGTCTCTAATCTAAAATTTATGAATTATTTTCCTCATTAAATTAAAAATTTGATGATTACTCAGTAGAATTAGATAATTTAGTTGCAGAATATAATTTTTGTGATTTACTCAAAGAAATTAATTTTCTTTTTGAATCTCCTAATTAGATTATATACTAATAGTTTCTAATAGATTCTGAAAGGATTTAAGCAATGAATAGAATTTATTCATCTAAAGTAAATAATTTAACTTTAACTTTAAAATCTATAATAGCAGATTGGAATGTTTAAAATGAGTTTGATGAAAAATTCAACGAAATTTCTACATAAATTAATGATAATAGAATTAACAAAAATCATTCCATTTTGACAAAAATTTAAGAAGTCAAACAATAACAATCTTGTTGGGCTATTGCATTTAATAAATCTAATTCAATCATGGCAGCTGGATGTGAAGAGAATATTAAAATTTGGAATTTTCAAGATAATAAATTAATTGATTCTGGAATTGTATTAAAAGGACATTCTGATTATGTATAATGTTTGGTATTCAGCAAATATCATGATTGGTTTGTCTCAGGTGGATTAGATGAAAAAATTATATGTTGGAAACAAATTAATATACAGAAATGGTAAGGGAATTAATTTATTAATACGGGTTAAGGAATAATATAATGCTTGGTATTAAAATCAGCTGTAGATTTAATTATATCAAGCCATGATTCAAAAATTAAAGTTTGGAATCTTAATATTGAATGCAACATTATATCATTCAAATAATCATTGGATATGCACAAATCAACAGTTTAATCTATTTTTGTTAATGAGAATTAACATTTTTAATATCAAGTGCTTCAGATAATAAAATTATTCTACGGTCAAAGAAATCTTCATAAGAACAGTCTTACTAATGTACTATCAATAAAATTACAAATGATTGTGGAAATAGAGTTAGATTTATTTCGAATTCAGCTTTTGTTTGGCAATAGGAAAAATAAGGAATTTTACATATATTTAATTTTGAGAATGGAGAGTTTATTGAAAAACCTGAATTGTAAGTTAAACTAAAAGCAGAAAATCAATAAGATAGAACTCTACTTTTTCCATCTATTTTTAGTAAAAAAATATATTTATTTAAAAACATCATAAATATGTATGTATTTTGAAGAAATATAATGAAAAATAATTATCAATTAGTGGAGATCCATTTATTGTTAATCCAAATTTAATTATGGAACTATTACCATCGATGGTAATTATTTGGTAATTTGGAATTTAGAATCAAGATCATTTAATGTGTATTAAATAAATTGATAATTACATTATAATTAATCATATATTAATTTAATATCCAATTAGCTTTTTAAATCATCTCTTTGATCTTTATCAATTTTTATAAAATAAAATCCTACAAGTCTTGATCATTCTTATTTATTTGAAATTTACACATCATTGAGACTAAGATATATTATTAACTTAAATATTTTATTAAACATCTCGTTATGTAATTTATTATTATCCTAATTTAGCATAACAAACCAACCTTTTTCTCAGCATAAATTAGAATTAATATAAGATCTAGTAAGTAACTATATGAAGTAGACATTTCAAATGCATTTTGTTTGAAGTTATTCTATATAAAACAGAATTTCTGTCAATAACTTTGTTAATGAAATTGAAATTAATGGGACAGATATATATTAAAAAATAGATAAATAATTCTATAAAATATTACGTTGATATTGATCATCATATCTAATTAATTCATTTATGAATCATATTATTCAAGAACCAAAGACCAATCAAAAATAAAAAAGGCTTCTAAAGTAGTTTTGGCGCATCAGAAATTCAACCAAATAAGACTCTTGATGAATTAAAAAGCAAGGAATGGATTGCAGCAATATAAAAGGAAATTGATTAATTTGAATAGGCTATTGTAAATAAATTATTTAATTCATTAGCATGAAGTGGAATCTTTGTTTAAAGAAGTTTCATTATCTTAAAGTTAAATTAGTTTATGAAGTGATAAATTAGTGCATAATGATTATTAATTTGCTGCCTAAAAATTACAAGTATTAATAGAAATGTTAAGCAAAATACTTAGAAGATCATACTAAATACCATCAAAACAAATTAATATTAAAGCCTCTGTAAAATAACTATGCAAAAACTGTTTAAGAGCATCAATCACTCTCTTAGATGACAATAGATCAACAAAATTTCAAATTCACAATTGCAAAAGAAAGAGAGAAGATATCATTCTAATTTGAAGAGTTGCTTAAAGAGTT